CCACTGCTCTTGTAGTGCTTGCTTTCCAGAACACCTCGCTGCCTCTCAGTGGCACTCGTAGGCTGGGGCGCCGGCAGAGGACACCCTTCTCCTACGCTGGGGCTGCGGATGGGGCGGGTGACCCTTCCCGCCTGGTCCCCCTTCTCCCAGTTGCTCTGGCCCCGGAAGCCATTCCAAGCCGGCCAGCCCCGGGACACTGCCGCCACCCTGCCTTCAGCCAAAGGACTCGGACCCTCTCAGTGGCCGCTCCTTGCCGCAGCCCGCTCCCTCAGCCGGCTCCTACCGCTCCTCCACTGCGCTCCCCCCTGCCACCCGGCACCCTCCCGCGCCATGACCCCTCCCTCAAGCACCCAGGACCACGCCCCCTCTCAGACACGCCAATCACCTGGGCACCCCGTGGCCACGCCTCTTCCCCCCGGCCTCTCTGGCCGCTGCCGAGCCCCATCTATGACAGGGGCTGTGACTCAAGCAGGACGGGCCTCAGGGGCCACCAAGGCAGCGGTGGTGGCCAAGAGGGCACTGAGGGATGTGTTAGAGACCCCACCGCGTTCCCTGTCTCAGGGCCCAGCGCCCCTGAACAGAGCCCCAGGGATAGCCCCCTGCTCCCCCCCCCCCTTACTCTGAGGCCAGTACCCGTGTGCCCACCACGGTCAAGGTCATTGGTGGCCTTGGCACTCAGAGACATGATGGCAGCACAACCTGAAGGGGGTATGTGATCCCTGACATCTCCCTTTTACCACCAAGTGTGACCGTAGGTTTACACCAGGCCTGACCTGCAACCTCCCCTCAGGGTCGTTAGACTGGTTAAACAGTACATTTTGGCATCTCTGAATTTTGAATTTCAGCATGTGACTTTTTTTTTTTCAGACAGTGGTATTTTCATTTTTCCCAAAATTTTCAAGTTCTGTGAATGAGTCACACATTACTTCCAATCATGAGAAACTGGTGAGTACCAGGATTTGAAAGCATTGCTCTCCATCTTCAGGCACAAGTCAATAAGCTTGCATTAAGCCACCTGATTTGTAAGTAAGACTGAATACGAAATATCTGGCATTTGCCAGCGCAATGCCAATTGCTGGCAAAGTAACACCTCCAGAACAGAGGCTCTAAAAGAAATTTTATTCCTGCATGTGTGATAAACGGACATTTTCAAACTTAATTGTATTGCTAAAACTGAACGTAAAACCACTTTGTGCTTGTACAATGAGGGATATGGGAGAGAGGCAACACATGATTTGACTGCTTTAAAACCTGACATGGTTTTATGCTAAAGGTTCTTAAACATTATGGCTGTAGAAAACTGAAAGTGAGTATGAAGTTGAAGCTGCATTGGTAAAAATGAATAAAAGTAACTGGAAATTAGTTGACTGGGACAGAAATGGGGCAAGCTGGCAAAATAGCTATGCAACTTTGTGTAGTGAGCAAGACTAGCTGTCTCACTTGTCTGTACTGAGAAGGGGCCTGAGGGGATGGAATATTGTCTACAAGTATGACAAAGGACACATGGAGACCTGCCCCCCCCAAAGGAGCTGCAAAAGGCTGGCAACCACCAGTGAGCAACTGTATCAAGCCCTTGATACTCCACCACAGTGAGAAAAAGCCACATATAAACTGGAGGGCAAAACTGTAAGGATAGTGTTTAAAAGTCAAGGATATTACTATTTCCTACCAGGTTCTACCAACAAAAAAACCCCACACAACGTGATTTTCCCTGCCTCCGTACAGCCTGGGAGTCAGCTCTGGAAGTGTCAGCCATTGTCAACTGAACTGCTTTATAAATCCTTCAATTTGCCTAGATTGTTGCACCATTTGTGTCAGCAGCCTTCAGCAGGTTACCAGCTTCCTGAGATGACTGTGAGACTGTCTGCACCCAGCATAGGCTGGGCTGCACTTCCCAGTGTGTTGGCTGCTGGGTCACCTGCCTGTGTCTCCTCCAGCTGCTGGGTCATGGCTGGATGGTCTCACTCCAAAGCACATGGTCAGAGCTGTGTAGCTGATGTGTAAAGCTGTGCTCTGGGGAAACACAAGAGAAGAGAGGTATTCTGACAGCATGTAAAGGGAAGAGCACTTTTATCTCTACTGAACAGCATCTGTCTTTCTCAGGGAGGGGGCCAACTAGAGACAGCTGATCTTTATTTGGGAATTATTTTCTCACAAACACAAGGACAATAACTTGTTAATTGCTGAATACAGCCCATCCCAGGATGCCTCTGTCCTCTATGCCTGCATCAGATAACCCCAAGCAGAAGATTAATGCAATTTAAGTGAATACTTGCACCAGCCTAATAGGTTCTTGTCTGGTATATGTATCAACTCTGTTCAGACAAAAAAAATGCTACCAATTTCTTTAGTTTATGAACCAGGCAGCCTCAGAAAAAGCCTGTTACACAACCTTGTCATTCAAAAGGAGTTGTAAATGGGGAAAGCATTGGACAAAGGACTCTCTAGCTGCACATTTGTGACACATTTAGTAATTAAAAGAGGCCCAAAATACTGCTTTGTATAAAGTGCAAAAGGTCTTCATGCATGCCACACAGACTATTCAGTTTTAGCTACAAAGCTGCAGTTACCTGAATTAAGCTATTTAATGTTCTGCTTTAGAACTGTTATTTGAATAATGAGTAGCATAGATCACTAACATTATCCTTTCATGCAATGGGTAATGCACAAATCTTCAGGTTCAAAAGTATTATGAAGGTAAGGTTATTTTAGAAAATGCCAAAACAGCTCTGAGAAGCTTAAGTGCACGGAAACATCATGTTGATATGGTCTCATGCCAGACTTAGGATCATCTTCATTTTCAGTCTTACACCCTTTACATAAGGTAAGCTTGCAACCTGCTTGCATCACGTTAACTACAGTCAAACAGATGAGGACTCCACACTGAATTTGACATAGGTTTAGACTGTCCTCAACACTCAGACTTCCATCACAGATGGCTGACAGAGGTCCCTGAGGCAGAGCAGAAATAAAACTCTGTTACTAAGGCCTGGAATGCGTGGAAAAATCAGAATGTTTTCCTCCTACTGCCAACAGTCATAACATCACCTGAAAGAAGGTACCTACAGGATAAGCTGAGGTCTGAACTTCACAAGGACTTATGTTTTACTTGTCTTGCTATCCTGATCCTACACTTGACATGGGCACTCTGCTTGAGATGTTTCTGTAGGGTCTGAGACCACACTGCAGCACATCTTACACTTCAGCAGAACAGGCCATTGAAGTGAAAACACAACAGATGAGTCATCAGCCAGACTGCAGTCTGACACCCCACTCACTCTCCTGCTGCAGATCTCTCTCCTCCTGCAAGGAGGCTGCTGATCATGCAGTTGCCTGGCACACGAGATTGCAGAAAATCAGAGTCATCAGAAAAATACCAGCCATTTATTTCCTGCTATTTTAATAAAGAGATGGCTTCAGCTCTCAATGTGCCTGAAAGCAAGTTCCTAGAAGCATCTTTAACAGCTCCCAACAGCCAGTTTGAAGAACTGCTGACATGTCAGCTGTGTTGTGCCTTGAAATGTGCCTGCAAGTGGACAAAGCACCATACACAATTTTAAGGATAAAGTGAAGTGGCTTACTAGAAACCTTCACATCCTTACACTGCTTGGGTACTCCACCCCTCTACCTCTTGACCTTGCATGAAGACCCAACACCAAAAGGGATTCCAGTGTTTCATTCTCCAGAGCTGGGCAGAGGATAGGGTGGATGGAGATTCTGGCCAGAACAGGCAGAGCCAAACTCTTTAATGTATCTCATTACTCCCACCATCAACATTATAACTCCAATGCAGTTACCTACCGCATTAATTTAATTTTAATTAGTAACTGGCTAATATGATTCCACAATTTATTCAGTTATGCTTGCTCCATTTTACAAAGATATCAGAACAATGAGCTCAGGAATATCCTTAATTTCTCTGAAAAATCCTGAGAATTAAATAGAACTGGATTATTTGACTGCAGTGGACATCCAAGGCTCCAGGGCCATGCATCAGCTCTGGTTAGAAGTCTTCAGATTAATTTGTTATGCTTTCAAATTAACACCGTTTCCCAGCCTGCCATTCATGAACTGCACTTTCAACCCCTACCTGTCTCAGGGGTAAGTACTCAGGGTGCCTTTTTACAAGTGGCTTTGCTTGCACTCCCCTAAGTTATTTCCAGGCGTCTGAGAAGCATTTAAGCCTCTCTGGAGATTCAGTGTGCAGCTGATCTAAGCGATATCAAGTCAAATCCTAAATGCATCTTTTAAGACTTAGGCAAACCAAAACAGATGAAAATCCAACTCCTGCTTTGGAAACTCGGTACAGGGTTGATATTAATAAGCATTAGCATAAAGTTTACTAAACCCCTTTCAGAGAGGACAATCACAATCTCCTTTGTAAAGCAAGCTGTTTCTCTGAGGAAATACCCTCTATTTTGACATCAGCATAGGCAATGGAAGGCAATAATATTGCAGGCAGCCTTGGAATAAAATAATACTCTTGAACTACCAGAATACAGCAATTTGTCATGGTAAAACAAGCTTGATTCATGATACTAAGAAAAAAACCCCAACAAACTAACAGAACACCCAAATTGCTGTACGTACTGGCAAGAGGCGGTAACAGGCATTTTAAAAAGACTGTTGTGACTAAAATTCAGTTACCTCTCAAAGAAGAAATATGGTGCTGTTCCTGCTTTTCTTTGTGGAAATTCAAGACCCAGGAGGTTCTAATTGAAGGGAAAACTGGTACAGATCTGCTGGATAAAGCTTTAGCACATTTCTTCCTTTTATTTCTCTGAATCTTGACTAAATGATCATGTCTCTCAGTTGCTACACATTTAGCAACCTGAAAAACATACCATTACCTTGTCTTTTTCCGCTCTCTCCTGCTTTTCCTCAATATAAGTTGATTTTTAAGGTGGAAGAGAGAGCAAGGTTAAGACAAGAGCCAGAGATATAATACCAGATGACCTCTAGTTTAAGTGATGAGTATTAAAACCAAATCACTACCAGAGTTAAGTGACACAACTGCTCTTCCATTTATTTCAAATCAAGCTGCTGTGAGCTGGATTCATTAACAACTTCGTTTTTCATACAGACAGGTTGTAAGATTGATAGCATGTGGCAATTTAGAGGTAGCTGCATAATAAAAAGAACTTACTAACATTTAATACTTTGTACAAAATGGAGGTGGAGAGTTTTTCAAAACAGTACAAGAAATGTTCCATCACAAGTCATTACTTGATGACACTAAGGAGTATTCTTTGACCAGAATTCACCTGCAGGAACAGGCATCTTCCCCATACTCCCAAATAGGCTATCCTTCTCAGGTCGGATATGCTTAAGTGAAACATTTTAGAATCATTTAGTATTGGATGACTGCCTCTATCACAATGCTTAATTAGTAAACAGGAAAGCAGCTACAGTCCATTTAATGTTTTCATATACTGAGTCTTAAATGTTCATATACTGTCCAGCTTCTTCAGGATGAAAGGAGCTGAAAAAAGAAAATAAAGCCACATGAACTTTACTCAGCTGAGAATAACAAGAAGCCTACAGTGAGTCTGCGATGAAAATACAACACGTTTATGTGGCATCTAAAATATTCAGACTCTGGGTGAGATACCACCCCCCGCCTCCCACATAGTCCCTTCTCTCCTTGCATAACTGCTTTAACGGGTGAAGTAGCATGATTCAAGGGGGTACAGGGTATGCCCGCTTGTGTTGCCGTTCAGCGCCTTGGGCAAGCGCTCGACACCACCAGGCGCAGACGGAATCACACAAAAGGAGTGAAGGGCACCCTGAAGAAACGCTGCGAGCCTCTGATGCAAGACATTACAGCACTGCCTGCAAGAACAGGCAGCATGGCGATGTTCTTCCATGCTCTGGGGAAGTCCAGAACCGCGGTGTTCGCCCAGGCCCCGCCAGGATACCGAGGCTCTCCCGCCCCCGTGAGGACGTGCCCACCCACCTGCACACGCAGGCCCTGGCTGCCACCCTACCCGACCCGACCAGACCCGACCCGACCCGACCCGACCACGCCGCGCACTCACTGATCCGCAGCAGCGCGACATAGATGAGGAAGTTGCGGACGGAACTGAGGACATCGCGGCGCATCTTCCGCTTCAGCTCCTCCGGGTCCATTTTGGGCCCCAGGCCCTCGATACGGAACATGCTCACCTCCGGCCTCCCCGCGCGCCGCTGCGGCTGGCGCGAAGAGCCACGCCCACTGGCCTCACGTGACCGGGGGGGGTGCGGATGTGCTAGATTGCAGCGGAAGTACCAAGGCTGCTCCGCCTGGGGCTGAGAGCGCGCTGCGCGCTGACGTTATACCCCTTCCGGCGCCGTGTGTCCGCCTCTCCTGCGCTCGCGTCCTACCTCTTCCGGTGCTATAGTTCCGCCTACCTTCCGGTCGCGTCCTGCCTCTTCTGGGGCCGCGCGTCAGCCTCTTGTGCCAGGCTGAAAGCCGGGACACGGGCTCCTGTTAGGGAGGGGGAGCGAACTCGGGGTGGGGTGGGGTGTGTGGGATTCCCGCAGGGAGAGTTCCACTGGTTGGAGCTCTGCTCTTTAAAGCCCCTTCGAACTCAAACCAGTGGGTGATTCGATGGTTCTGCCGGCAGCAGTGCGTATTTCTTTTGCTCCTGCCAGGTTGCAGACAGTATCATGCTGTTTGTTGCTGCAGAGATGGGTTTGTGGTCGGGAGCTGAGCTGCTGCTTGTTTGAAAAAGATGGCTCGAAACACGGTCCAGCTCTATTCAGAGAGGAGACAACATTTATTCTGCACAGGTTGCTTGGGGCATTTCTACAAATGGAGCAGACCCAATGCTGGCTTCTAGATTGCGCTTATACACAAAAGTTACAAGGTAGTACACTCCAGTTACAATGATTGGTCAGTAATGTACAATCATTGGCTCTTGTGTTCTCCCATCTCCTTTTAAAGGCATAGTATTGATTTATTTCACCATGCATGTTCTGGGAGTAAGTGTTGCTGTGGGCAAGGGTCTCATCTCAAAGGTGTGATTTGTTTTTTATATTAATGAAGGCAGTCGAGGACACCATGAAAGTTAGTTTCATTGCCAACTTTTGTTGAGATAAATGCTCTTGGCCAAAGCATGTTCTCCTCCTCCTCTGGTGTCCTTTGGCATTTGTCCATTCTGTCATCTACTGAGAACAAGACAGTTCTTTGTCTAAACCTTGACACATATTTACACAGTTTCTTCTGGGTTAAGTCTTCCTGCTGCAAATCCAGACTCAGTACTACCTGAGTCTCTGATCCTCAGGGGCTGGAAGGCAGCTCTCTCCACCCTAGGGTTAAGACTACAGCAGAGCAGGCTAGAAGCTGCCCGGTCTGGTTGACCCGTGGTTGTGAACTTGGGGAGCTGTGGTGCAGGCAGTACACTTGCATGGGGGCATGGAACAGGAGTTCTCATTAGATGTAGCTGTCATAGAGGAGAGTCATGTATATATCACGAACCTTTCTCCTCAGCCCAGTGCTTTCCCTCAGACGTAAAACAGCCCTACATAATAATGCACAGAGAAATTGTACAGTGCCATTCAGTGACCTCAATGAAGGGTTAGTGTCCCTTCAGCAAATCTGCTGATGATACGGAGCTGGGGGGACTGTCTGATGCACCTGAAGCTGTGCTGCAATTCAGCAGGACCTTGATAGGCTGGAGGATTGGGTGGGGAGAAATCTAATGAGATTCAACAATGGCAAGTGTAGGGAGGGGAACACGTGGGAAGGAAGAACCCTGAGTTCCAGCACAGGCTGGGGGGTGACCTACTAGAGAGCAGTTCAGCTGAGAAGGACCTGGGAGTGTTGGTGGATAACAAATTGACTTTGAGCCAGCCCTTGAGACAAGAGTGTCCTGGGGTGCACTGGGAGGACTGTGGCAGCAGGTCAAGGGAGGTAATCCTCCCCCACTACCTGAGCCTGGTGAAGCCACATCTGGAGAACTGTGTCCAGTTCTGGACTCTTTGGTACAAGAAAGACAAGTAGCTACTGGAAAGGGTCCAGGGGAGGGCCACAAGGATGATCAGGGATTTGGAGTATCTTTCTTATGAGGAGAGGTTGCAGAAGCTGGGCCTGTTTAGTCTAGAGAAGAGCAAACTGAGAGGGGATCTCATTAATGCAGATGAAAGGAGGGTGGGTGCCAGGAGGATGGTGCCAGGCTCTTCAGTGGTGCCCAGCGAGAGCACAAGGAGCAATGGCCATAAACTAAAACACAAGTTTAATCTCAACATGAGGAAAAGTTTCTTTACATTGAGGTTGTCAGACCCCTGGAACAGGCTGCCCAGGGGTGTTGTGGAGTCTCCCTGTCTGGAGACATTCAAAACCCACCTGGACATGTTCCTGTGTAACTTCTCTGAGTAGCCCTGCCTTGGCAGGGAGTTGGACTGGATGACATACAGGGGTCCCTTCCACCCCTAATGGTTCTGTGATTCCAAAGCTCTGTTGCAAGTAACAGTTCTTGGGATGTCTGTTACCAACAATTGGTCTGTAATTGATAATGGTTTCAAGGAGCTGGTATTACATCTGGTCTTACTTTGGGGATGGGAATGCCTTATGTGGCTCTGTCTAGAAGTGGTGGACACAGATAGAGCCTCCTTTGGGGAATTACACTTCATGACACTTCAGAGCATGTCACAACACAACGGCTTCAAACTCTGCAGCTCCGGCCATGTTATCGCATCCCCTGCTGCAAACCCCACTGGCTTCCCAGTCTGTGTGGTACTACTGTGTGTACATGAGGACAGTCCTGAAAAGTAGGCTAGTCTCGGTGTGCTTGATCACTGGGGAGAGAAGGTTATAGTGCATCAGGCAGGAGCAGAGATTGCCTTGCTGGCCCCTCTGAACTCATCTGAGTGCCTTCATTCTGTGTAATCTATTAACAGTAGGACATCACAGATAACTGTTTTTTCTCTAATTGCAGTAAAGAATTAATGTAGTTGTTCAGTCTCCTGAATAACACACCACTGTCTTTGGTACCATTGCTGAGTTTGTTACTGCTTCAGCGAGTAACTGACTTATCTGTGCTGCTTCATTTAGTATAGTGGAGCGTTCACCTCAGCGCAGAACTCCATCATGCAAGGTCTTGTACAAAGGCAACCCCTGTTCCCAAACCACTGCAGGGAGACCATCCAAGGGCAGTAATACTTAACAGGTACAAAGAGACAAAGAGGGACCGAGATCTTGACTTTGGCGATGCCCCTTGCCAACCACAAAACCACCTCTCTGGGCGCTAAAGGTCATGGGAAGCTGGGCTGTGGGTGAGTTTCAGTCAGGATAATGGATCACCCTGAATGCTGACTTGAATTACCTCCCTCTGAGCTCCGTTTGTAGCATACAGGTTTCAGCTAGCCAAGCCTTTATTTCCTGCCCATGGCAGGCAGCCGGCAATACTTTCAGAAGAAGTGATACTTTCAGAACTCCTACTCACATGCCAGGAATATGGTCTGAGATGGCCACAGGTGCTGTTAATGCCTGGAGACAATGAAGCAAGCAGTCAGAGTCTCGTGGCTCTATCCACCACCACCCACTGGGTTCTGCAGGCCACCCTGCTCTGCCTATGCTTCTTGGGATCAGGCAATGCACTGTAGGCAGATAATACAAAAAATGGATTTCTCTCAGCTAAACTGCCTATGATCCGAGGCAAAGCCAATTACAGAGCAGCTGTTTTCATTGTGCCACTGTCTGGGCTGTCACCAAAAGTCAGGAGAATAAAACTCCTTAATACCAGTGTAGCATTAAAAAGCAGGCACTTCTTGATTGCAGCGCTGGGTGCTAGGTGGAGCTTCTGCAGATCAAGCATATCCCATGCCTATCTCATAGTTACATTTATACATTAAAACTACAAGATAGTACACTCCAGTTAGAATGATTGGTTAGTGATTTGCACATAATTATGGTTATCTGCTGTGTCATTCTCTTCTGTTACTATGCTTATGCGGAGGAAGGTTTTCACCTGGGCAAGGGTCTTCTTGATCCATGGGTATGTTTTTTAGTGTTATAATTGAGAGCATAATAAGGATAATTCATCTAAAGGACACCCTAAACTTATTTTGTTGCCAAGTTGGCTGGCTACCTTGCCAGGTTGTCAAATAACTCATCCTATATACAATAGACCCTAGGTGCTCTGGTTATGGTTTAGAGAGTAAGGACTAAGGTAATATGTTCCAGAGAACAGGGACTTCAAGCAACACAGCACTGGATTTCAAGCAGCACAGCAACCCACACTAACATAATGGCTAAATTCTTCAATCAAGATGTTCCTATAGGTAAGTGTTTCACAAACAAACACAAAATATAGAAAGATTCAGTAAAACTTAAGAAAATCTGCAACAGTGCTACCTCAAGAGCCCTCCGTGACTTTGCAAAGAATGGCCAAGGAGGAGTGTTCTCAAACTACCTTACTCCTAGCGTATTTGCAGGACATTCAGTCCCACTCCCCAGTGCAATTGAAGGGGCAACCTCTTCTCACTGCTGAAGTTGGAAGACTGCCCTCCTGAGAGCTTTACAGCAAGGCTCTGGAGGAAAATACAGTAGAGCTGCCTAGATCTGCAACTAACATAATCTAGCTTTTGTCTGCTGTCTTCCAAGAAGTCCTGTTAAGATTTCACTCTGAATGTAGGTTTCTCTGGTCTTTGCTAGCAGAAACAGATGCCAAGCCCATCTTTGCAGAAAAGCAAGGAGTCTTGTCTTACATTTCAAGACTGCTGGTCCTCCCACTCTTGATTTGTATTTGAAAAGCAGAAGTGATGCTGTTTTCCTGAGCACTGCTCTGCAGAAGAGAAAGAAACTTGGGCAAATTTGGGCAAAGCTGAATCAAACATGACACACTCTTGAAAAGGGACTAGAGCAAGAAGACCAAATGTAAGTGAGGACTCTGCCAGGACATTGGCTGAGAAGCTGTTGCCACAAGTTTTTTCACTGGATCCACCCAATTCTCCTTGTCCTTCTATGAGATGTGGGGATGATAAACATTTTCTTTAGGAGACATCCACATTGAGTAGGCAGGAGATTTAAGGTGTGGAGTGACCAGCAAGGAACAGAAGACACTGGCTTTGGGTTTTTACAGCAGCATGAACAACTTCCTGAGCTGTCCTTGAAGTGTTTGCAGCAATTTTCCAGCATTCCCTCAAACCTCCAAATGGTGCAGTTTTGATAACTCATACCCTGCCCTTACTCAGTCCTGTAATTGTATGAAAATTTAGCTTTCATTTCCTGGGGCTACAAGCAGACTACTA